ATCAGGTTACTGAGGTTTTGACTAAAGCTGTGAGAAAGATGTTTGCAAAATACGTTAGTCAAGCTGGATATGATGGATATCTTTGCACCAGCTTGAGGGGGAGTGTTGTCAAGGGCTTATTTGTTATTACTTAATAATGTTGGGGATTATGTGTAATTTCTTAAACTTGTTATTATAAATAGAATGTGGTGAAAAGATTAAAGTATCTTTCATTCTTTCACTCTTTCCTTTCTTCTCTTTTTCTTCTTTTTCTTTATCACTTGCTCTTGATTTGATTATATCTTAAAGTCAACATTTGTTGCCACCATCTATTTTATATGGAAGGAAAGGAACCAGAGACTTTACTCAAGTAAATTATAGAAGAAATATAAAAAGAAGAAAAATGAGAGAATTGTGTAAAGGCTTGAATGAGATATATATCACTCATTCACAACTATAGTATTTATAGATAAGAAGAGCATATGGTCATATTACAAGAAAGGAAATTAAATCAAATCTAAATCAAATCACAACATATTCTATGGCATATTATATGCCATGATTCGTGACTATCAATTCTCTCCTAATATGGTAAGTCATTCCATAAATCGTGACTATCATATCTGCTAACAATTATAATGTTATAAAATGGTTAGAATGGATTACATAAACCTCATTTGACTTGTTTCAAGTCAGATTTCTCTCCTCACTTGTGAAATTACTGTTTTACCCCTTATTCTATATTTTATCCGTTTTGACTTTACCATCCACATTTGCCTTTGAGTTGAGTCTTGTGACTTCTTATAAAGTTCTCTTATTGTCCTAGAGGTGGTGTTTACCCCAAGGGATCTCTCCCTTTGTTTCGCTTCCGCATTTCGGACTCAATATCAAGTTGGGTTATAATCTTCTTGGTTAATGCACCGGATCATGGGATTTGGGGCGTCGTAGATCCTGTGAAATTCAAATCCTGTTCCTTCTTTGGATTTCAACTTAAAACACAAGAATAAATGGTTAAACCAAGATGGGAACCTTCCCTAGTCTCTCTGTAGCTGATCTGGGATTCTCAGCTTAAGGCTATTAGGGCTTACGGTCTTGTGAAAGTCCATGCTATTCTCCTTTTAAGTTACTGATTAATTTTTTTTTTTTTTTTGGGCAAGAAATACACACTCCACTTTATCTTTTTGAGAACTCGAATTCTTACCAATTCCTTTCGGTGATAGAAGAGATATCACTGTGCCACAAGGCACCTAGTACATTCACCAAGAATTTACAAGAGCATAGCTTTTAACAAAAAAAAGGGAGGAGGAGGTAAAGTGTGGCGGTCAAGATTGTCATGTTATATTTTAACTAACTAAGTGACATCCAGGACAAGAATATAACCTCTTTGTTTCTTAGTTATTTATTTAAATTGCTTAGGTAGAGGACCTGCCATCCAAAAACGAAAACAATATATTTAAAAAAATAAAAACTTGAATTAGCATGGGAACCACGATTCCTATCAAACTAAATAGGATAAAATAAATTTTCTAAAGAAAAGAGAAGGGACAAAATAATAGAAAGCATCTCAAGGCCATATGAGGAAATGTTCATTATTGTATTTCTCAATGTAGTACTATGTCCTTTTCGTTGCGGTTATATCAATGAGGGGAAGGAGGGTTCGACGAAGTTTCCTTGTTTTCGTTTGGTAGGCAAAAGTCATGGTTTCTTTTAATAATGGTGTCCCATTCAGCCTCCCTACCAATTCCCACCACAAACACCCATCCCTCGCAGCACGCGCAAAGAGGGAGGGAGTCTTAGTAGCTTACGCGAGAATTCTACAATAATCTCAGGCCTACCGATGGGTCAACTAGACTTTATGTAAACACAGTCGGATTGAGAAAGATAGATTAGTTTATAATAAAGCTGACACCAAACAAAAATCTATTTACAAACAGATCTAACAGTTACCACTTGCTATTGTTTTTTTTTTACTTAAAACTATGCACTGTTAACTCCCTTTTTTATTTTTCTTTTATTTTAATATTTTGTACTGAGTAATTTTTTGTCACCCCCAGTATATTGTGGTAGGACCAACAACATCTGATGCCAAGTCGCAGACTGTACGGTGCTCAGCATAAAAATACTTTACCATGCACCAGTGTATGAGTATACTTTTTACTTTTTACTTTTTACCTTCTCTAATCCTACGCCTAGAGTCTAGAGCATAGCTTGAACACGAATTTTCTGGAGCCACACAGACCCACGAGAAAATATGATTTAAAAAAGGAGATTGAAGACGAATGGACAAGACTGTAGGACCACGTACCATTAATCAAGAGATAAAATTAGCTATGCCTCAGCTTTTAACATGTGAACCTCACCACTTACTGGATGGTCTTGAATCATCACCAATTATATGGAAAATTAAAAATGTTATTTTAAAATAATGCATTAATTTATTATAAAAAAAAATTCAACACTAATTTCTTTTTTATTATTCCCACCTACCATTTAATAATTTCACAAAACCCATAACGGTCCCACATGAAAACAGAACAACGGACAAAAGAAGCACAAAGTTCAATGTGGCACCACTCCCCCGGAGCAAGTTGAGCAACTATACCAATAAATCAGATGCATTCAGTCTATATATTCAATGCACTTTATAATATTTATTTTTTGAATAACCTTCCAACTCATGAATGAATGTGAATTCAGATTCTGATCAGATCTTTCAACCAAGATCCTTTTTCAGACCTGCATTTATGACCAGATCTTTCTCAATCAAGATCCTTATTCAAATGTTTTTGAATTCAAATTCAAAATTAACATCCAAATCTGTAACACTCTTTTCCAATACCTAAATTTGGCAAACTTTAGAGATATTGTATTTAACAAACCGGTGGTGAAAGAAAAAACCAATAAGAGACGAAATTAAAAACGAAAAGGAGTCTGCCCTAAATGTTTGCGCACAACCATAAGCACATTATACTAATCTAGCTTCACCTAATATCCATTTGAATTTGAATTTGAATTTCATCTGCTAGGTAGCCATTTTGTCCCACTTTTTGACACACGCTCGCCTTTTTTTTTTCTTTTTCTTTTTTACAACAAACTTAAACACTCATTTATTTGGGAGACTCTAATCCTAAATTCCCACATTTGGTAGAGAAAATACAACTCAATATCTTTCCACAAATATCACTAAAATCAACCATTCACCATGCCTGATTTGAGTTCTCGTGGAGATAAATGATATGATAAATGGATATGTAAATTTTGTTAAACAAAAATAAATGATAATAATATTAACATAAAGAGTTAAAAGAGTAATGGTATGAGACACTTAGTAAATTTTTTATAATTTATAATAAAATAGGAGTAATAATTTTAATACAAATTAAAGAACTAAATCAATATTAGAAAGAGACTAAAAACCAGCCCCGTGAAAGAATGCGCCTACATTGACGCTTACCAAATATTTCAAAATTCAGACTAACCCATAGTCTCAGTTTGTTCTCTTGTAAAATATTTTTTTTTAAATATTTTCTTTTGTTTTTATATTTTGATATTTTGCAAAGGCTTAGATCGAGTTCAAAATGAAGAGTATAAAATAACTTATTAAAAATTAATGAATGAGTTATTTTAGTCAAATTTTAATATTTGTTTCTCCGTAAAATATTTATGAAGAAACACTAAAATTGAAAAAAAAAATTAAAAAATTTAAAAAAATTTAAATCCAAACAAACCAAACCTGTGAAAATTTCAAGCTTTGTGAAAACAAAAATTTTGTTTGGGTAAATCCTAAAAATAATATATTACAGCTTTGATATAAAATATACTTATAAATGAAAAGCACAAAAGGTAGGTGGTCCATATGGACCATGTGCAATCTTAATTTATACGTGGGCAGAGTCAGAAACAGGAGGAGTTAATGGTAGTGGACCACAAAATTTTAATGGAACACACCCTCAATAAATAAATAAACTAACGGAAGGTTAGCTCAACATTTTACTACTCTTTCTACATATGGTAAGAATCGTTTGAGACGTTTGGTTAATGGGACCCGATCTTTCAATACATCAAAACCGTCATTTTTCATTTTAATTACGCTTTTTATCATCGAGAAGCAATACTAATTAATTTGACATACTCCGTATAACACATTTAACACCGTTAAGGAGTAGTACAATATATATATATATATATATATATATATATATTTTTGTGTGTGTGTGTGTGTTCTCTTTCTTTTAAAAAAACTAATTGTATATAAAAATATTGAGTGTAGCTTAAAAACTGACACAATGCTACTGATTTTCTTATTACTACAAATTGTGAATTATGGATCCTAAAAGTGACATGATTTTTCAAAAGAGACATACAAATGTCCTAAATCTATTAAAATGTCCTACCTCTCCTGATTTATTCTTGTCAATATTCCGATATACTGGTATACTAAAACACTTTAATACACTGGTTTCATATTATTCAGAAAAAAGATAAAAAGTTTAAATGCAATATTTGCGGAATGGAAAAATAATAATTAATAATTGCAGAAATAAAACATAAGTTGTGTGAAAAATTAGGAAAGAAGTTGGAAAGTTTTGCAAACTAAAAACCAGATCAGATTTCTACTATATGGAACTCATGGATTCGAAACAAAATCAGGTGTAAAGGAATTCAAAATTTATTCTATTTTCATTTGGAAAAAAAATATAAGGTACTATTGTAAAAAAAAAACTCCATAAAAGACAAAAAGGAGACTGGAACAGAAAATGTAGAACAGGACGATTCGGAAATCAGATGAAATTTTCCCATTTGGATGTGAAGAAACTGTAGAATAGAAAAGGCAGAAGGAATTCATAGAAGAAGAAAAAATTGAATCTAAGATTTTCTGCATTTGTGGAGGATCTAATAACACAAAACCTGTTTTCAGTGATAGTACCTGGGTTCGGTTTTTAAGTTATGAAATTTGTTTTTGCTGTGCGCTGGGTTTTCTTGGGAAGCAAACAGAAAATTAAGAAAGAAGAAGGACACACCTTAATCCCATCAACCTTGACTCTGGCTTCGTTTCGTTTATCAAGATCTGGAATTGAACGGAAACGCCTGCGTCTATTTTTAACAATCGAGACTGCCGATCTCCATCTCTTCTGCGCTTCTTCCGAGGGGTTTTTTGCCGGAAGATTGAAGTCTTTCAACAAAAACTTCTCCATTGCCCAAAATTCAACACCAACAACTGCCTATCCTTCACTCTTCCCCTGCCTACTCTAACAGTAGATCATAGGATATATATAATTATATGTACACATACATATATCAAATCATATATGTGTGGTTTTTTTTTTTCTTTTCTTTTTTTCTACTACATACTCCGTAGTATTTTATTTTATTTTATGTATTTTGGTGAAAGATAAAAAAAAAATTAACGCGTTTTTTACGTTTCCCTCATTTTATCATCCTTTACCCAAACAAAATATACACCCTACATCTGCGGCAAAGTGTGCTGGTTTAATTGGCTTTCAAAGCCACCAGTTTCTGGCTTTCAAACCAGCACGTCATAAAAATTAAAAATAATAATAATCATAATCTCCCTCCACTTGTTTTTCTTGATTTCTATGGCGGAATATATTCTTTTGCATGATCTTACTTTTTAGAAGACTTAACCTTATAAATTGAGAGGCAATTCCCTACAACTATTCCATTGTTGCTATTCTTATCAATTTCATCACCAGCCCATCACATATATATATATATATATATATATATACACACACTCATAAAAATCTAAATGTTTCTTTTTACCAATTTGACTAATGAAACTCCAAAAGTCAAGACCATGGAAGTACTAGATTCTACCCATTTGACTAATGAAACTCCAAATAACATACATACATATATTATGCTATACTCTCCTAATTGGTATAAAATAATATTAAAATGGATATAAAAAAAAATTGTAGGACTTTTAGAAGAGGTGTTTGTAATTTAGTATTTTTGTATTAGTTTAAAAATTATTTATTTTATCTATTAGGTTAGAAGGTATTAAGGTGTAAATAAATATTAAAAATACTACATACTTTTATAAGAAATATAGATACCAATTGAACCTTACAATATATAGAGAGTATATACCATGTATGATGCAAATAATAATAATAATGTTCTCTCATATAATAAAGAATAGTGAGTGATGTACGGGACAGAGCATTAGTAGTCAATTGGTTATAAAAAAAAAATGCCTGAAAAATGTTTTTTTATTTAACTAAGTTTACGATTGCAAAGTACTAACTACTTTTCTATCTGCACTGCACATGACCAATTCTGTATAAAGCATAAAGTTGAAGTGCTACGGAATCAAAATCCCAATACCTTTACTTTATTCGAACTGATCATCACAATAAGGAATAGGAAAAGGAAGACTTTCTATGGGCAAAAATTATAGTATAAACAAGCCATCGTGCTCTTGAAACAAGATTTGCTAAATCTTGTGACATTTTGGTTGTTTGGTAGTTAGGTAAATGATGAACCTTTATTAACTTAAGTACATGACTCTTTCTTAACGGGGTGTTACTTTTACGCTCCGTATGCATTTTTGCTCCCATTGTCACTATTTGTAACTTAATTTTGTCGCTTTTGCATTACAGTTCTCAAATTCGCTCTCGCTCCCGTTTTCAATTTATGTGACTTAGGTTAAAACCATTTTAGTAGAAAAAACTTTTTTATAAATGGTGAAGCAAGAAATGCACAAGGACTGTCATCCACTCACTGGTGAAGAGTCCCCAAAATCTTGCATCACTAGCCCTACAATCCAGTTTTTGTCCACACACACCTTGAGGCGAGGGAACCCACGCCAGATTGGTTTTTGCTGCAATAGTCCCGGAGACGGTTTTCTGCAAAATTGGCAAATTGAAAGTCGTGTGTAATATTGTTAAGATTAAATCAATGCTCCAAGAAACTTTGAAGAAAGGGGGAAATCCACCTTCATACTAACTAGAGCTAATCCAAAATCCACATGGGACTCGTATCATAATATGACCATTTGATGGCTGCTGTCTGATTGAATCGTCTCCGGTGGAGAGGGTTTTGATCGATGCAGGGATAACCTATGAGGATCACTATTTTTAATATCAGAAACCACATTATCTCAGACATATGCAGAACATTATCTATATTCTATACACCATTGATTTGTTAACATTTTAGAACATTGTTTTAACAAATTCTTCTGGCACTAACTGTTAAATGCTCAGAACTTTGCTCACTAATTTTCTCTGGCCCATATTAGAAGATAGGAGGGAACCGCACCCCAACCTCTGGCATACCACCTATGACCAAAGGTGGATGGTACAAAAAAACAACAACATATCCCATCCAACAAAAGAGGGATTTAAGGCACCACCTAACTTTAGCATTTCATAAATAGAGTTGATAACTTTTCAAGTCAATCAAAATGCTATTGGAGAAAGAAAGAAAAAAAAAAAAAAAATATATATATATATATATATATATATATATATATATATATAGTGACACAGGTCATGCAAGTTTTGCCATTAAATTATCCTATAACCTCATCCCATAGGCATACAAATTCTTCCCTACAAGGAGTAAGTGTGTTGAGCCGAGAAGGAAGCATGTATCAGTTAAACCTGCTCCCGGCAATAGTATAGATCACTCACTTTGTGCCACCATAGCTTCCAATTTTTGCAACCAGTTCACGTACTGACCTTGCTCCTTCTTATGTAGATGGAGGAGAACAAAGTTGGTAAGGTTGTCCCCAATTCCCTTGCCTACTAGATATTGCTTGAGTTCATCTTGCAATTGGGGATCCAAAGAACTGCCGATAGAATATAAAAGAGGAATTTAGATAGATTTCGTAAATATAAAAGGAGATTACAGATAGGAGGATGCAAGAGAAAAACTTCTACAGGATTCAAGCCACATGGCGGTAAGCATCAACTTTCCAAACTCTAGCCATACATCAAAGAAATGATACTGGGATTTGGCATGCACTTAAGTACACTAAAAAAGAATACAAATATTAATAAGTTATTAGTTACTTCTTTTTTTTCAAATAAAATGTTCCCTCAGTGTCCATTTGGGTTCACTACTGGAAAAATATGATATAAAAATAAAATAAAATAAGAAAACCTAGAATAGATTCGAAAATCTTGTCTCTTGCTGTCTTCAAGTAGAGAGGAGCAAATTGTAGACAAGGAAACATATAACATATAGTATATAGCATAAAGAACTCCTGTAAAAGCAGAAAATCTAACTTATTGGCAGTAGAGTGGAGAAAAGATGGTTACTGCAATTAAATGCACTAAATTCCATAACTCCAATATCTAAAAAATAAAAACAAGTAATTCCAATGTAATAATAATTGATAACTAATCTAATAACACGTCAAGGTTATTAAACAATTTAAACACCTGTATAAATTCTAATGTACTTCCACAATTATCTCAGGCATATTTTTTTAATTTTAAAACAAATGGTGAACAATTTCCATTCTTAAGGATAGTATAAAAGCGGCTCAAGCAAATCAGAGATATCAAAAATTTCCCAGACATCAAAGGTGCTCCTGATATGAATTAGCGCAACTGCAAAGAGGCTCCTCGTGTTTTGTAGCGGTACGCCACCAGCAGTACCACCACTCTACCATTCACAATAGCAAACAGAGCTGGAATCTATTATTTAATGGCCCTCCACAAAACAAATTTCAACCCCAAAAATTCCTCATTACAAACTTCACAAAGGTGATGCTTTCAAACTCTTCCTCAATAAGATGATTTTTTACCAAAGGCCAAAGCTAAAAGGTGAAGTTGCATCATTTGTCACTGAGGCAGACACTTGCCTTTTTAGGGCATCGCAGAAATTCAGAACAAAATTTACTGTATCACCATTGGAGCTCTCTCATCGGGTTTAGTATACAAAGTGCCAACATAAGCTAAACGTTCATTATTATAAGCAAGTTTACAATTAGAGTTCAATATTCTAAATGTCTAAGCCAAATTTAACAACCTTTCTGGCCTTTCCTTTTCATTTCCAAATGGGGAAATTTGAAAGGGGAAGTCGATGTACAAACAACACAGAGTTGGGGGAAAAAGACCAATTTGAATGTCCTAAAACAATAAATAACTTCAATCACTGACATAACAGCAAATTTTACCTGAATAAGGGGCCACGGTAGACTGAAGGGCCAAAACACCCGAGGGATAATGGAAAACAAAGTACTATCGGGTTAACGAAATTGAAGAGGGGCTTTAACATTTAAAACCCGACTGGGAGTACAATTGATCAGGCAGGGATAACAACCATATGCTAGAAATATTTTGGTACATTCATTCCTCGTAACAGGCACCGAACAACAGCCATGATGTGACAATTTTTGCATTCATCCACACCATTCTGCAGAGCGTGAGACTGCTTCTACTGGTCATGCCTCCTCAGGGCCACCGAGTTCTTTGTCCAAGTCTGAACTTGATGCTCTCCAACATCTACTAGCACAACATTCCTCCATTTCCACGTCTAACCTCGCTCAGACAGGTACCTCTTATTCGGCAAATCAGGTTTCCACATTATCTGGTGGGCCACCCTGGATTATTGATTCAAGAGCCACTGATCACATGACTAGTATGACATCTGATTTTTCTTCGTACAGTTCGTATTCTAGTAAGGATAAGGTTAGAGTGGCTGAAGAAACCTTCACCACCATTGTGGGGAAGGGCACTGTTTCTGCCTCTAATCTTACCTTATTCTCTGTTCTTCTTGTCCCAAAGTTTACCAATAACCTCCTTTCTGTTAGTCACATTACAAAAGGCTTGAAATATAGTATAACCTCTTTTCCATCTCACTATGTGTTTCAGGACTTGGACACAGGAAAGACGATTGGAAGTGGACATGAGGACAATGGCTTGTATTTATTGAACGCGAGGCCGACTTCTTATTATGTTGCAAATCAATCTAGTGCTAGGAATAGTAATGTCAATAAAGCTCTATTAATGCGATGGCATAATAGACTAAGTCATTTACCTCTTCCTGTTTTGAAGCATGTGCAACCCCAGTTTGCTTCTATTGAATCTTTTGAGTTAAATTGTGAAACATACGTTCTTGGCAAACAATTTCGTGTTTCTTATCCTACTAGTATTAATAAAAGTACAACTCCTTTGCAACTTGTTCATTCTGATGTGTGGGGTCCTGAATCTACTACTTCGTTACTTGGTCTTCGTTATTTTGTTGTGTTTGTTGATGACTTTGTCGATATATTATCTTATGAAAATTAAAGATTAAGTTCATTCCATTTTTAAAACCTTTCATAGGATGGTATGTACTCAGTTTGGTTATCCCCTCAAAATCCTTCGATATGAAATGGATGAGAGTTTATGTATGGTGGCCTTGCCTCCTTTTTTGCTGATATCGGGATTGTCTATCAAAGCACTTGTGTCGATATACCACAACCGGAATGGTGTAGCTGAAATAAAACACCGTCATATTACGGAGGTGACCCGTTCTCTTCTAATTGGGATGGGAATGCCTAAAAGTTATTGGGCTGATGCAACCTTAACAGCTACATATCTTATCAATCGCATGCCTTCTAAGGTTCGTGGCTATCAATCCCCCTTCTCTGTCTTACACCATGACACTGCCTTGTTTACTGTCCCTCAAAAAGTGTTTGGTTGTGTTTGTTATGTTCGCAAGGACAAAATGGACCTTAAGGCAATCCGGTGTGTCTTCCTTGGATACTCCACCAGTCAGAAAGGGTATCGGTGTTATAACACTACCACTCATCGTCACTTTGTCTCCATAGATGTTACATTCTTTGAGTCTGTTCCTTTTTTTTCCACTGCTTAGGATTCTCTATAGGGGAAAACTACTATACAGGTAGAGAATCCGTTGTCTATTAAGAGGGAATGCCCCATTCCTTTGCCTGTTTCCATTCAAGGGAAGGTTCTCATTCAAGAGAGCTTCTTACCGAGGTGCCTATATCTAGTCCTCCTAACACTAATGATTTGTAGCAGGGAAAACAACCAATTGTCTACACTAAGAAGGCAAAACAAGTCATTGACTCACCCCAGGATAAAGAAGTCTCCCTTGATCTTGATGTCCCTATTGCCTATCATAAGGGTGCTCGTAGTTGTACAAAACATTCCATATCTCAGTTTGTATCCTATGATGCGTTATCTCCAACATATCATGCTTTGACTTCATATATCTCCTCTGTATCTATTCCTTCTAGTGTTTCAGATGCTCTAAGTCAAACTCCATGGAAGAAATCCATGCTTAAAGAAATGAAGGCCCTTAAGAAGAATGATACTTGTGATATTGTTCCATTACCTAGGGGTAAGAAACAAGTAGGCTGCAAATGGGTTTATACAATAAAGTATCATGCAGACCGAACAATTGAGAGATATAAAGCTCGGTTAGTTGCAAAGGGCTTCACTCAGACTTATGGAATTGATTATCTAGAAACATTTGCTCCAGTTGCTAAGATGAACTCTATACGTGTTCTTCTTTCTTTGGCGGCTAATTTGAATTGGCCCTTACATCAGCTGGATGTAAATAATGTTTTCCTTCATGGTGACTTGTATGAAGAGGTGTATATGACTATGCCACCATGGTTTAAGCTTGCCAAAGGTCAGAATTTAGTGTGCAAGCTAAATAAAACCTTATATGGGTTAAAGCAATCGACGCGTGCTTGGTTTGAGAGGTTCAACATTACTGTGAAAAGAGTAGGGTACACACAGAGTCAGGCAGACCATACTCTCTTCATCAAGAAGCACCAGGGCTGCACCACTGCACTTATTGTACATGTTGATGATATTGTTATCACTGGAAATGATCGAGAAGAGACGAATGAAGTCATTCTTAGGGACAGAGTTCGAGGTTAAAGACCTTGGATCATTGAGATACTTTCTTGGCATTGAGGTGTGCAGATCGAAGAAAGGGGTGTTCATTTCTTAACTGAAGTATGTGTTAGACTTATTGGCTGAAACAGGCAGACTTGGAGCTAGACCTATTGATATTCCCTTTGAGCAAAACCATAGGCTTAATGATGTAGATGGAGAACCGTTAGATAATGTGGGAAGATTTCAGCGATTGGTTGGGAGATTAATTTACTCATCTCTCATGCGCTCCCCTACGCTATTAGTGTGATTAGTCAGTTTATACATACTCCACGTACACCTCACCTTGAGGCAACTTATCATGTTCTTTGCTACCTCGAGGGTTCACCTGGTAAGGGGATATTATTTGGCAATCATGGCCACTTACGCGTTGAAGCCAATATTGATGCTGATTGGGCAGGGTGTGTGACAGATCGACGATCTACTTCAGGATATTGCACATTTGTTAGAGGTAATCTCGTTTTATGGCGAAACAAGAAACAGTATGTAGTAGCTAGATCTAGTGCAGATGTTGAGTTCAGATCCATAGTACGTGGAGTTTGTGAGTTGTTATGGCTATGTACGATGTTGGGTGAGTTGGGTTATTCTGTTCGCGAGTCAATGAAGTTGTATTGCGACAACAAGGCTACTATTAGCATAGTCCACAATCCAATTCAACATGACATGATAAAGCACATTGAAGTCGATCGACACTTCATCAAGAAAAAGCTTTGTCTTGGGTTGATTTATACTTTGTACGTCAACACATATGATCAGGTTACTGATGTTTTGACTAAGGGTGTGAGCAAGACTTACTTGTAAAATATGTTAGTCAAGCTGGGCATGATAGATATCTTTGCACAAGCTTGAGCGGAAGTGTTATCAGGGGCTTATTTATTATTACTTATATAATGTCGGGGCTTATGTGTAATTTCTGAAACTTGTTACTTTA